ATTTTGACGAAAGTTACATATAGAAGTATTAAATTTATTGAGGATATAAATTTCTTTTATATCTTTTGATATGATTATCACCCATATGATACATACGTACGTCCATATACAAAGAATGGGATATCGATACGAAAGTGTTATGTGTAAATCCATGCCTCTGATGATATGGCATGGCTAGAGTATTTATTTGTATAAGATCTTCTGTTTATGAGGTATAAAGGAAAGGTTTTACCAGTATTATCGCATGAAATATATGAGGGATGGTCCCCTTTAGCCTTTTTGATATTCATTATAAGGTAGTAAGGTAGATGCACTAAAAACCAGGAACGTAAGCAATTATATATGGGCTGCCGTCAATAGAAATCAAGCAGATCTACATTTAAAAAAAATCAATACCTTACATTTCACAGCTAATATCTTGATGACTTTTAATGGTATCTTGATGATTTAATATTCAAAAGAAAGCTTACGATCTAAGCTTTCTTTTAAATAATAAATCATCAAGATACCATTAAAAGTCATTGAGATATGAGCTGTGAAATGTAAGGTATTAATTTTTTTTAAATGTAGATCTGCTTGATTTCTATTGACGGCAGCCCATATAATCAGCAAGTACATTTTACCAAGACCAATGAAAATTTTTATGTAACGTTATGTAGAAATTTATTGATTATAAAAACTTTATAAATCCAATGTAGATTTACAGTTATTTTAAAATTGTCAAAAATTTTTATATTAAACATTAAAGCTAGGATTATATTGAAAGTTTAAATTAGAGTTTGGGGAAGGTTGTCGACGTTTTTACCTAGTGCATCGAACGGTGATTATCTTATTCACTTTTGAAAAATAGCTAAAATAAATTATTAATAGCAGAAACTCGTATCCGAAATAATTGTTATACGAACTATTTATGCGGACAATTGAAAATTTGATATACGGTTGTAGTCTAAAAACCGGCAATTTCACGACTCGCTTAACCAACTCAAGGTGTCCCATTTATGAGTAAAATTCCTTCGTTTCGAGTGTTTCTAGCAGAAAAACTTTTCTAATCATTTTCAATCAATTTCTCCAGAAAGTATTCATAAGAACAAAGGTATGGCGTTTGGTAATTGGCAGAGTTTATTGGGTTTACTGCGTTTAAATTATTAAGCTAAGCTAAACAATAAATTTATAAATTGTTATGAGTAGCATAGATAAAAATCCATTGATTGGTCAATTTTTTAGAATACTATGTCATACTATTTATGCATGCATCACATGGTGATTTACGCCAAAGCTACAAATTTTTTTTTCCAAGGTATTGTGACTTGAAATTTCGTATTTATACTCAACAAGGACCTAGTTTTCAAGATCCAAAAATTAAATTTCAAGATCCAAAAATAGGCGAAACTTCTGCTAGTGACAATGCCAAGGGGTAGACCACGTAAGAATAAAGGACCATGTGCAGTATGTGGCAAGAATGACCTTAAAGAGAGGTTTCGCATACTGACACCAGAACTTTTCCCCAAAGCTATGCAAAGTCCAGTAGTTTCCAATTTAAACGTAGAACTTAGCTTATATGACCAATTATGTCATAAACATTATGTTGAATTAATTGTGTTTGATAGAAACTCGAACTCGAATAAAAGACGAAAATATAGTTCAAACTATGATAAGAAAGATGTGGAGGACGGAAGTTCTAATGAACAATACAATATTGGAGATTGATACGAAAATGGCCTAGGCGTTTCCAAAGATGAGAAAAAGGCATTCGAATGGTATCTAAAATCCGCTAGAGGTGGAAATTCTGATGGACAATTAAAAGTTGGAAATTGTTATCAAAACGGCAGAGGCATATCAAAAGATGAAAAAAAGGCATTTGAATGGTATTTGATATCTGCTAGAAGTGGAAATTCTGACAGAAAATTGAGCGTGGGGAATTGCTACCAAAATGGCATAGGTATACTTAAGGATGAAAAGAAGGCATTCGAATGGTATTTAAAATCTGCTAGAAGCGTAAATGCTGATGGACAATTACTTGTTGGGAAGTGCTATCAGAATGGCATAGGCATAGCCAGAGATGTAAAGAAGGCGTTTGAGTGGTATCTGAAATCTGCTGATGGTGGAAATCTCGATGGACAGTTGAGTGTTGGTGACTGTTACCGGAACGGTATAGGCATACCTAAAGATGAAGAGAAAGCATTCGAACAATACTTGAAATCTGCTAGTGGTGGAAAATCGATGGGACAATTAAATGTTGGAATTTGTTACCAAAATGGTATTGGTGTTCCTAGAGACGAAAAGAATGCATTCGAATGGTATTCGAGATCTGCAGAAAGTGGAAATCCTAATGGACAGTTAAATATTGGATTTTGCTATGATGAAGGAATAGGCGTTTCAGAAGATAAGAAGAAGGCAATTGAGTGGTATTTAAAATCAGCTGATAGTGGCAATACGAGTAAATGGTCAAATTCTGAAATTTATAACAAGGAGATAAATATTTATTTGCCTCGAGAAATTTATAAACACTTATTAGGGAAAATTTCAAATGTCCAGAACTCACATCACGGTAAAGTATAAATATTCATTAAGACTCTGTAAGCACCAATGTTTATTAGGGTATTAAATAATAAATATTTATTATTTGTAATATTTATTCTTACAGAAATTGAACGATTTTTAAAATATTTTAATGATCAAATAGCACGAATGACAAAAGTTCTTTATCAGGATCAACGTCAAGGAAATCAACCACAGTTGAATGTCAATGACTTTGTTAATTTAATTGAGTATAAAGATCCAAAGCTTCAAGGCTTTTTTGATGTTTTATACAATGCAATGAATCCCAAGGAAAAAAGTCAAAAGGTGCAAAAAATCTTGAAGCAAAAAATTATGGTATTTTGTTACCAAATGGCCGAATTAAGAAACAAGCAAGTGAGTGGTTCTAAAACCTCAATAGGGTTATTCTTTGCAAAATCTGGGGCATCAGCACATTGTATCAATACAGCAGCCAGTATGGGGTTATGTACTATGTATCAAACGGCTTCTAATAAGCTTAATAAAATAAGTAATGAACATTATTTTAGTATACAAAAATATATTAGAATTCATGTAAGTTAAATGCTTTTTAATATTTAACTTAATATATATATATGCACCGATGTTGATATACTAATATAATTCTAGTCTAATAATCTCTTGATAGCATGCGTAGATGATTATCACAATCTTCATGGTACTCGTATTCCATCAACAACTTCCATTAAACAAATCGCTCACATGGCCACCATATTATTTAATACGATTGAAGCCTTACCCATTCCTTATAATTCACCAAACAATTTATCTATTCATAACCCCCGTGGTGTTGATGTGTTTCTTTTGAGGGATATTTTAAAAAAACAATATATCTTTACTATTTCTAATAGTTATAATTTAGAAAAATCAAGCTGGAGCTGAACACAAAAATATCTAACAGGATGGATTTAATTGAATTTTTAACAATTCACTCTTATGATGTTGATTTTGCTAAAAAATACTATCGAAAATTTAATAAACAAAATTAATAGATTGTGTTGAGTCAGAATTGAAAAATACAAAAAATTATGTTGATGCCGTAAAAATATTTTTAAGGTATAGATATAATAAATTTTATATTGTATTTAAATTAATGTTTTTAATACTTAAACTTATTTAATTTAATAAAAGTTTGCTGGAGATAAAAGAGTACTTAATGAATTATGTAATTCCTCTTCCTGCGGATTTTTCAGGACAGTTGTTTATAAGAAAAGCTATTACTATGAAATTGATGTTTAATGAGTTGTTAATTCCAAAAGAAGTTACACATCTAATACACGGGAGTCAATTATGATTATTTTTCATCCTTTTTTTTGATTATTTGTATAGAACAATTTTTGAAAAAAAACAAAAGCTTGCTACAAAGCCTAGACCTTGGCGCATTAATCTGTTATTATATTTGGCGCATGAAGGCTGGCTTATGATTAAAACATATATTGTTCAAAGGTTTAAAATTTTTAAAGATATCGCATATGTTACATTTTTTGATTTGTTAGATAACTTAATTCCTGCTGTTTTGGATGTATATACATGCTTATTTTGGGAAAATCATTTTGAAGAATATGTTAGTACGATATTTCGGTTATGGACTGTAATGCGAAGATTTAAAAGACATAATTATGATAAAATTATGCTAGCCTTTTTATCAGATATCCAATATTGGAAAACAATTGAACATCCAATAATTAATTTTTTAAAAATGCTTTTGACGAATACCCGGTTGAAAACTTCCATAGCTTATTACGACGTCACACAAATGCAAAAACAACAACTGGAAAATTATTACGACGGGATGCTTTATTTCTCGATTATTATCGACATGAAACTATATTTATTAATTCATTTGAATCACAACATGATTATTCTTATACTAAAAGAGACTTGGATGTTTTGACAAAACGTTCTGCGATTTTTTTATTGGATTTTTTTAATAATTTATGCCAAAATTTAGATAAAACAATAATAAAGCAAGAAGGAAGATTTAAGAAAGACTATTATTATTTTCTGGGTATTTAATTACGATTTTCTTCCAAAGCTTTGCCTCTTGGATATCATTCAAATTATTATCCTAAAATTTTTAAATTATGCGATTATTCTGAGTGTGATGATTTATTATGGAATAATGGTCGTGTACTAATTTGTGGTCATGGTTACCATGATCATTGTTTTCAAATTTTAGGATATTATTGTCACTATTGTTTTGAGTATCTTTCGAATTCCATTGAAGAATTATCACAATCATATAATGAAAGATTACGAATAAAAAAAGATATTAATGATTGGATAGATTCTAATAATCAATCTGAAACTGAACCTGATACGTTAGAAAATATTGAATCTACAAAAGAATATGATGAGGTTAATAAAAAATTACAAAGAAAGATTGCAGGTAAATAATTTATAAAAAAAATTATGCTGTGATTAATATATATTGATATATATACTGTATATTTTTTTTTAGAATTTTATCAAGTCGATCACTTAACGTTTTAAAATTTTAAATATCACATGTACTATGCATCATACATATAATAAATAGTATTTAAAAAATTGATCTGCATTATTTGTCACTTA